TTGCGAACAATCGTATTAACCACATTATGGAATCATATTATAGTTCGAACAAAACTTTCCTTTTTTTTTCAGTGAAAAAAGAAGCAACTATTGATCCTTTTGTTCGGAATCATCAATCAAACCAATAAAAACAATGTCGATCAACCCACTTCAGTACGAATAAAATACAATTTTAATATTATTTTGTATAATATTCAAGTACATATTTATGTAAGAATATCACATTGTCTAAGAAATACATAAAAGCGCTATCGTAAAAGTCTATACTGTTGTATTTCTAGCGAAAAACAAATGGTTTTTAAAATTTTTTAGATAGTCAAACCCCGAACCAGCGCTTTTCAAAAAATGCTATTCCTTTGGCGATCTTGAAACTTTTTTACACCATTATGTATTAGTGTATTAATAATAAATACAGTTTGACGCTGGACGTCGGAGGCCTATTATAATATTATTATTATTTTATTTGATAAATGTATAATATAAATACAATTATTATATTAAAACATGACCTGTACATTCCCACGTTCGGCATACTTATTTTCGACGTACAATAACAGCGAAACAACGACATGGGGATATTATTATTATTATTATTTTATGAAAAAAAAACCCGAAAAACGCCATTAAAAACCTCTCGTGGTCCCGTCCGCCCGTTTTGTGTTTAACGTATTATAGTGGTGGTTTTTTTTTCGCCTTTCGTTTTTTGACGATATTATTTATTTTTCGCTATTTTAATTACTGTACGAATCGTCCTTTTCTCTTTTAAGCGTGCGACGAGTGTGCTTGCCCACTTTATTTGTAGCGCAATGTTTTTTTTCCCACCGCGATTGCCGCCACCCCCGCGACCGCGTCCCTTCCCCCGCCTGAATAGGCTCCCTTCCCCGTGAACTGGTAGTCGTCATACGTTGGAGTGGCGGGACTTGGGGGGAGGGGGCGGTAACCGTAAAAACGGCCGAAATCTGGAAAATTGGTGAGCCGGGTCGGTCGGCCGCCACGATTTATGGACGATTCGCGCATACATCACTCGCTCGCTGCGTGGCCGCGGGGCGTGCAGATGAGTATATACGTAATATACAGTATAATATATATGTACGTGTGTGCGGATTATTTTTCGAAAACGCCATCAATTCATCGGCAAACGGGTCCAGCCCCCCCCCCCCACCTTCGTCGAGCCCCTCAAAGTCACTGTGCGTGTTCCACCCCTCCGGGGATGGCGTTTTGACGAGATAGCGCAATTCATCAATCCGACAGCTCAGCGTGTGCCACCGCTGCTGCAACAGCGTTGTATTTCATTTATGTATAATATATACATATTATATTATATACAGCGAGGATGACACTCGGAGTCAAATTTTGAGATTTAAATAAAAAAAATGTACACATTTTAAAATATCATATGCTTTTGCTTGCACTACACGTGTTTTGAAACAGGTACCCGTATTCAAACGGGGAGAATATTATTTATATTATTCATACAGTTTTACTTTCGGAAACGTCGAAAACCGATGACTGCCAATGCGTTGGACGTCAGATGGACGTCACCCTGTACGGTGACATGTTGTATTAGAATATTGACCAGCGTTTTTCGTACGATCAGCTCTATCGTAGGTAATCCCAACACGCTGCACAACAGTCATCGCCAAATTCGATTGCGGCCGTTGGGGGGGGAGGGCATTGGTGGGGGGTGAGTTGTCAAGAACCGTTGATGCGACGCCAAAATCAATCTTCAACCGTGGTATCCGCTCATCACTGATTTCGGCACGGCATCCCGACCACGGTCGACCAGACGACTTCGCCCCCCCTCCCCCCAGCGAGCATCCGACCAACGCGATAACGCTTTCTACCGGTCGCCGAGTCATTATAATAATATTGTTACGGGCCCTTATAATAATGCCATTAATATTACAACCGACTTGACCGAATGAATTCGAGTAATTCATCCGTAAACGCGAAGTCACGCCTTGTACACCAAAGGCCAAACCACGCCACTAACAAACGCCTCCACCCCCCACCGACAATCCCTTGAAAGTGTTGTCAAATCAGTCTACATGACTATTTGAGCACTCCAAAATTCCACCCTGTGAGTTATTGATGATCATCCCCCGATAAAACACAATGCAATAGATAATATTATTATTATAGCGTTGCATCATCACGTCCATCATACGTGTCCATACACTTTTGGACTCGACGCTTGTGAAACAAATTTTGTCAGACGATCCGCCTGTGAACATTGTAAATTTATCGGACACCGTTCCCCCGCCAACAAAATGCTCCGACAAATTTATCGGAAAGTGTAAATCGAATGTGCACAGCATATTTCACGCATAAATAATATGAAATTTTCGATGGTTTCGATGATTGTGTAACTTTTTGTGCAGTTTATTTTATGTTGCTCATTCAATTTTATCCTGAAGCTAATGGCGTTATATTCAAACGTTTACCAAAAACAATTATTTTTGAATTAATATTATATTTTAAAATTTTTAAACATTTTTTTTTTTAATTAGAATATGTTTTTATTTGACATCAGGTTACCCGCAAATACCGAAACCATTTAAACGACTGTCTTACTATTATGTCATTATTCTCATAAACAGTACCATCTGTCAACGTTTTTAATAAAATGTATTCGAAACTATTTCAACGTCCTTTTGCCATGTAATTTATACCAACCCATATTTTAAACGTCAACAGTAGTAATACATAGATTTTGGAGTTACAAAAATACAGACCAACCTTGCAAACGATCAGCTGTAATTTACGAACTTCGCAATTATTATGGTCCTCTGCGTTATTAAAGGTTATTGATTTCACACTATGCACAACCCGAAATTATATATACTTCAAGTGAAACCATATCCGAAATTTAACAGTAACTTTAAATTGTCTTGAAATTATTTGACACTGTTTAAATATAACAATAGGACCATAAAATAACCATTTATGATCTAAACATATACGTATTTACAAATTGTTATTAAAATATAATTGGTCTACTATAGCTTATTATTATTACGACTTCGTTTTTACGACGATCATGTCAGTAAAAATGTTATTATTTTCAATAAAATTCTTCATTCACGGAATAAATACTAGTTAATAATTTCAATACACGATTTCTCCGAAACAGTAATTTATACATTTAGTAATTAGTCCTCCTTCTTTGATTACATTTATGAGAAACTTAAAACTCTAAAACTCCATACGTAATCCTTGAGCTTTATGATCACGATTCACCACTTTTCTATTGTGAAAATGAATAATTGCTTACAAATGTACATATACCGCATATATACCTTATACATTTATAATATACTACATACTCTATATATCTACATAATATAGACTTCATTGCACTGATAAAAGTGAATATCTGTATTCTGTGTTCAGATGTTATTTATATTTATAGTTAATATTTTTCAAAATTGATAACAAAGTTTTTCAAAAATATTACCTATTAAAAAAAAAGATAAGGATTAGTGTTAGCGGGAAAATCAAGTAATGAGAAATTGTCTTTGTAGGTTTATGTATGAGAGTTTAAATCGATTTTCGCTAAAATAATTTTTTTTTAATAAAATCAAGGTCGTTTTTAACATAACATATCAAAATTGAGAGACTGGGATAAACAAAAAATAAAAATTAGGCGATGAATTATAGTCCAATATAAATAATTTCTTTGTTGTAGTAGCAAACATTCAAAGTTCAATTCAAATGATGATCATTGTCATATGTTATTATTTATTATATTATTTTAAAAAAGGTAGGAAGTATATCAATTCAACTATTTAATTTTACAAAATACTCTAAGAAAATTAAAAATTAATATTTTCATTGATAATGTAAACTATACGGGCAGAAATTGTATTGGGATATATAATAATAACAGTATAATAGTCATTCAAACTTATTACAATGTAATTTAATGAAACATCTAATGATGGCGTAAGCTAACAGTGAATTTAGTTTCAGACGATACCGAAAGTAATTTTTTTGTTATTTTTATAATATTAAATGTTAATTCAATTTTATTTTTTACTAGGTAGGAACTTAATAATATTATTGTGTATTTATAATTTATACTTATCTGGCGGCGCAAAGTATAGGCAATTTTGGTACACTAATGTATAGGTGACTCTTGGATGGTATACCACTCTGTTTCGAATTGGACAGAATGCATTCGAAAAAACAAATTACATACTCTAAAAAACAAAGATAATGATTCGATATAAATTCATTTATTCATATTTTGAAGATTGTTAATTGTTTCTTATATATGAGTTTGATGCATTTGCTAATAGATATGTAGCTTCACCAAAAAATAAAAAAATTAGAAACCACTGACCATAATACAATACATAATAATATATTAAAAGTAAAATGTATAAACCTTTCAAAATATACTATTACACATTTATTTCATTTATATTTTACGTAAAATCTTAATTTGAAAAAGAGGTTTTACTACTATTTTATATTTATAAAATGTAATGGGTAAATTACCTATATAATTTTATATTTTTATATAAAAATTTTATTTTATATTATAATATAATAATTAAATATAAGTTGTATTATTTAGTATGTTTTATTTTTATCCCTACACACATTTCCCAAATACAAAAATGGTTAAGTACAACTCTGTATGAACGTAACAAAAATAATTAGTTATGCCGGATTAAAACAGTTTTCTCCCAAAAAGTGGTTTTAAGATTCTGAGTAAAGAGATGAATGTATTGATTTTCTTTTTCGTGCGTCTGAAGACACGTATTTTTTTAGTGAGAAAAATGTATACATTTCCAACTTTGAGAGTAATTTATGATAGTGAATTGGATCTAGTTAGTACTTTGAGAAGTCAAAAGTATAAAATCACAGTATTAATAGTGCTAACTTGTGTATTTAGTTTTCACAACAGTTTGTGGAGTTTTCTTTGAATAAGAATAAATAAATTCGTCCTTCGTGCATAATATTTTTTCATGTTGAAAACTCGTTTCTAACAGGTGACGTGGGTTCATCGAAAATCAGACGACATCCAGTTACTGACAGTGGGCCGTCAGGTACACAGCTCAGACCAAAGGATATCGTTGAGCTTCAGATATCCTAATAACTGGAGACTTCAAATTGTCTACATAACCGACAGGGACGATGGAGTGTACGAATGTCAAGTGGCAACACACCCACCGACCACCAAGAAAACGTACCTTAGAGTCGATGGTATGTACGTTTTAACTAAATAAAATATTATATTAATGAAAAGTTCACTTAAACTTAAATATGGATATGCGGTAAGATTTTCTTTTTAAGACTACGGACGTTGCACAATTTTTATCATTATTTATTATATTATAATGATTTCGTTGAAATAATTTTTCTTCGTGTCACGAAAAAAGCATGCGATGATAATAATTTAAGAAATATGCAACGAATAGGTTGGAAAAAATCCAAAAACTCTTTAGACATTACATTATTATTTAATATCAATGTCTTTGTGCATCATATTATTTCCTCTAAATAATTTACTCTTTTATTTTACGAATGCCTTATAAACGTTATTAAATACCTTTAGGAGTATTATCACGTCCCCAAGAATTCAAAAATGTTATGAATATAGCTACCGTTAGGGCATTTACATATTATTTTTAAATTTGAAATATATATGTAGATTCCTATAAACATTCAAAATAATACATTGAATGCATAACATGTTTATTTTTAATATAATTCACTGCTTATACTATGCAACACTTCTGTTCAGTGAAAACCCTTGCTAAGTTATCCACAACAGACTGTTAAATTATAACATGAGTACATGACCGTCATTTTATTTATTTTTGTGTCATAAATGTTTGAAAACAAAATTTCTATCGTGAACATCGTGTAATCCAATTTGTATTTTTTAAATTCATCATACAAATGCAGTTTAAAATAGTACAATATATTTTAATTAAAATTTTAAAAATTTGATGACTATATTATGTTATTACAATTTACAACTAAGCTACAAATGTATTACAATAATTAATTTTAATATTATTTAAAGAGAAAATATCAGATAATTGTTTTATGAATATACAATAAACATAATTATTATAGTATTATGAAAATACTAATTAACTTAATTTGAAAAAAAAATATTTTAATCATAACCGTGGGAGTAAAGTAAAACGTAATTATAAATATTGTGATTGCTTATTCAAATTTCAATTTTATTTTACCTTTCGAAACTATGTTATGTTATGACAAAAAAAAATAGAAAAAATATATTTATAATTCTTTAAAACGTAATGACATTAAATAATTATTTTTTCTAATGTATAAATAACCAAATAGCTGAATATTGAATATTTAAAGAGCTTAAATTGAATTCACTTTCATAAAAAGTGTTATCGAAACAAAGTTTATTATTTGAGTCGTGATAATTATTCAAGAATAACTTATTTCTAAAAACTAAATTACATTTTTTTTAAGGCATTAAGAAAAATAATTACGTTTGGTTCTCCTCCGTGTGATGTCGTTATTTTAACAGTATAATAAAGTAAAAATCAGTTTTTATATTTTTAAATTATTGAATTTAATATGTATAGCCAATTTTGAAAAAATAATAAATATTTATTAAATGTACTTATTAATGACGAACTCAAAACGTTTTAGAACATTCATTCTATGTTTGTTGTAATCATTGTTCAATGCATTTAAAATGTATGTGAAAATATTATAATGCATTATATTAAAAAAAAAAACAATAAAATATTTAAGTGACTATGATAATTTTTGTCTGTCAAAATACAATTCTAACGCTCTCTAAGCATAAAAATAATATATCAAAACTTATATAATAATATACGAATCAAATGTTTAATTTATTATTATTAAACATGAAAAGAATTTAAAAATAAAAAATCATAAATATTAATAATAAATAAATACAATTTGACTTGTTGTATAGGCAGTGAATGGGCGATTTTTTATGAAATAATTTTTGCATTAAAGGACCCAAAACTAAATAGTTGAAACATATTTTCAAAAATGTAAAAATAAATAAATTGCATAATATTCAAATACATTAAGTATATTATTATTATTATAAATGAAACATAGCAAATCCGTATCGACGAGCATGACACATTTTATTGACAGTTATTATTATGTCGAACGTGATGCGCATTTCATAGAAAAATAACGTTCAAGTGTACCAACAGGAAATTATATAGACATCTGTTTTATGTATAATCTATATATATTTACAACCTTTTACTTGAAATTAAATTATACTGTAGGTACTGTTCTTTTGTTTAAACAACATTTCTTTGTCATTTACATTCTCGCGATGAAAAAAAAAACATTTTTTCTTTTATATTCCATATAATATATATTATCGAGGTAGAAAGTTATATTATGAATTCGAATTCAGTGTCTTAGAACTTGTACACTTCAATTTCATATTTTAAAACTTTGGATTTACTACTTAGGGATTACTTTAAATCCTCCGTATTTAATGAACGCGCCAAACTTTGTTTCACCCGAGTCCGCAATCATTACTATCATCGTGTATCGTAAGTTCCGGATAATAAATACTATCAATTTCAATTACGACAACCCCGACACCGATAAGGCGATAACAATAATAATTCACTGAAATCCTTTATGTACCTAATACGTTATCATTATACGTTATATTATGTATTAATACGATTAAAACAACAATATTTTGAGGTTAAACCGAAGTTTTTAATTTTTTTACACTAAAAGATATCAGTTTGTTTGATAGTATCAAGGTATTATGTTTGATTAGTGTGGTCAACTAATATGGGTTGTCTAAATTATTGTAATTTAAACAAGACAAACATAGTTTCCATCGGTTATTAACGTCATACTGAGAGTCCAAAATAATAGGCATGTAGGTCAGATAAATAGACTCGTATTTTGATGTTAAGGGCTTATAAATATTTTTTTTATATACCTAGTATTCAAAAGCACTAGACAGTTTCGTATTGCTTGACTCATATTTGATATTACGAGCTAATAAATCAATATTAATCATTATAATATTTTTTTTTTTATTGGTCACGAAATTTACAAATTTTCGTTTCGACTACTAGGGCTATTAGCGTTAAATTAATTTATATACTATGAAAAAAAAAGAACAAATTAAAACAAATTAATTAATTATATATTATAAAAATAAATATATAGTTTTATAAACAATTAGTGTCTTATAAATAGGTACGTGGCAATATTGTTGTTGTTAACTTGTAATAATTTTAATATTTGGGATTTTTTGAAGAAATGTATTGTTTTGGTTTCGTTTTCTGGATTTGGTCCTAGACTTTCTCCGATGTCGTGGCTTATGTTTAATTCTTCTCTGTTTTTTTGATATTTTCTATATTCTCCGAATATGTGTTTGATAGATAGTGAGGTGCCACATACTTGGCATATTGGTGGGTCGTCTTTCGCCATCAAGTATCCGTGCGTCATTTTTGTGTGACCAATTATGGCTCGATTTAGTTTTTTTTTTCATTTAATATTTATTTTATTGCAATGAAAACATAGGTATATTACTATATTATTGTGTTTTTTAGCACTTGGAGTAAATAATTACCTCGCAAACGTTTTTTTTTATAGGCAGTCACCGACATTGCACTCGTAAAAAAATATTGGAGTCATGTGCCTTACTTAGCAGGTACCTTATAGTTTATCGACAGCAATCAAATATTTCCAATATTATTTTTCCATTAGTGTGCCCGTGCAAAGCGGTCAATCGTTTCAGGTCAAAGTCTGTGTCCCGCAATTATTTATTTCAATCCCACGCACGCGTAGCCATGTGCTGGTTTGATAAAATTTCATCTTGAATGTAGTTCGGAGAATAACCACAATCCATTATGTTACCTTATTAATTTCGGAATTGAAAAGGATGTCAATTATAATTTATCACACACAAATTTCACCTCGTATTAGATATTTATTGATTTTTACGCAGAAAATACCTAACAAATACAGCACTTATTTTCTGAGATTATCTTTCGTATCAGGAAAAAAAAAATAAAAATGGAACTGAAAACCGAATGGTGGGACAGTAATAATTATAGCTTTTCGGTGGAAAACGACATTGTCGAGAAGAATACTGGTTTGTGAGATTTGTGAGAGCCTATTACGTATAAGTGACCCTTGTCTAAAAAACTGATATTCTGCAAAATCTGCATATTTCACTTCGTTAAATATGATTATATACCCGCCGAGAAAATATCGTTGCATCAATTAATACAATATACTTTTCTTAATTTAAATACTCTCGGTCATTATGTATAATGAAGTTATTATTTTTATTTGAAAATAATTCTTGAGATTTTACGAGGTTTTCCGATCCACCCCATAGGTACCCTATACATTATACACAGCACATAAATATACGGGAATAGGAAGCAAGTCGATCGTAAATTCGTAAAATAATACTCGATCTGTTCATTAATATTAAAAATACCAACGGTAGGAAATCGAAACGCTGAAACGTATTTTATTATCAAACCGTTATTAAATGTATCTAAAAACGAGAACAATAAACCATAAAAACGTATTATTATTTATTATGACGCCGTGCGGTTATCAGCCATAAAATATTTATATTTATAGCGTTTCCAGAGATTGTTTGAACGGAACTCGAGCTGCAGCGATGACGCGAGTCGACCGCCAGTCTCGTCCGTCGATATAATACTATTTTATTATATTATTATATTTTATCCAACGATATGATAAGTACCTATTGGTATTAATGTTATTGGCGGTCGAGCGTCCGTTTCCGGCCGTTTCAGTTGGCGCGATTAAATGTTATTATGATATTAAGGTCGGCCGTTCGCGTCCGAATATGAATATTATTCGGCCGACTCGAAAAGTCGTGTTGTTCAATAATAATTGTTCCGGTGGAGGTATGATGGCTGACATTGTGTACACGCACTGCGAATTATTACGAGGGAAAACCTCGATAAAACAATTATTGTGTACTCTCGCCAGGCCACTACAGAGCAGCCATAAACAAAACGTCCCTCACTCCCTCGACAAAACGCTTACGGCTTTTTATCGTATTAGCTCGGCAGTTCCCGACGTCTTCGTCTTCAGACTTAGGTCCTATGAAACCTCCGAAGGGACGTTGCGTTAGACTTCCCAGATAATTATAATGCGCTGGCCGGGGCTTTTCGAGAAGTGTTTTCAACACGCAGAGG